GCACATGTGCACCGTCTAGGGTGCTGCGGGTGCGGCGCTGGAGCGCCAGAATTCTGGACGAGTCGCGTGACCCTCTCATTTTTCGTTTGTAGTGCGTTGCATACTCAAGTCCGACTGTTTGCCGATGCTTCGTCAACGCATGCTTCAAACAAATCGACTGTAGACCCGAGACCTCGAACCCTCGCGTTCCCCGCGCTCGCCTGTGGAAGCCGCCAGCATCGAACACGACGTAATTGTGTCGAGGCATGCCGAAGATGATGTAACTGTAACTGGGTCGATATCAATGCCAATGCTGATCTGATTCCCGAACTTTTCTGCTCCCCCTAACTGCTCCAATGTTTCTCAATGGCCCGATATCTGCCACCGCTCGTGAGGCACTGAGCAGAGCGTCCACAAATCCCCCTGGGCCCTCTGAGTCCAGGGTTATAACACTGTGCATGGGGTCCAGAGCCCAAACTCCCAAATTTCTGCGTCTTCGATGCCACGGCGACCCCAATCGAACAGCGCGTCGGCGGGATCGGCAGCCCTTCTCGAGCCCCGGCTGGCGAAGCAGGAGAGTAGCGGCACCAAGGCATTTGTCTGCCAAAGTTCAGGTTCGACACGCGTGCTTGAGCAGGTTGAAGCATTTACTGCCTGGTTGACTTCGGGCTGCGCCTCGGATTCCCCGCCTCTTGCCGCAGCCATGGCCAGCCCAGGCACCAAGGAGGAGGGTCCTCGCTGAGCGCTCGCTTTCCCGGCCCTGCCTGGAGTGGGGGGCAGGCCAAGGCTTATTCGCGAGGCGGGCGCGTTGTGAGGGCGAGGGAGGGGCTGGGCCAGAGTGAACACGAACACGAGAAGGTCGCGAAGTGAGGAGGTGCAGGGAATGATGGAGCACAGCGCCAGGGCGTATGCCCAACGTTGCTCGCAATGCCGCGCAAATTCAGACGACGGTCCGTGGCAGCATGGCATCGCAAGCTTCCCAAAAGGCCCCAAGGACCGAGACCCATTGACAAGCTGGCCCCGCTGAGCCACAGCGTAACACCAACGTGGGAGATTGTGCCAGTGCACGCAGGGGATGGAAGCCCTGCGTGAGAGCGCGCTGTCAAGGTTAAATATGACCTCGACAACCATTATTGTCACTAAGCGCTCATCTGCGAGCGAAATCAGTGGCAACAAGATCTTCGTCCCTCCCCCGTCTGCCAGATGAATCGCTAATCCACCCTTCCCCCGCAAAAAAAGACTAGCGGCATTCAACATACGATTCATTCAAATTCAATCCTCCCGCACCCTGGCTTGGGTGGTGATGGCAGAGACTCCCGCCCGCCTCACCTACGAGAGGCCTGCGCCTGGTGCTGCCGCGGCAGGTCACATCCGTGGTGAGATTGGCCCCACCTCGGGGAAACGCGCCCAAACTCATGCACCTTGCCGCCACCGTCGCCCACTGCGCCACCCGCCTACGGCTTCGCCTTCGCCTACCCTATCCGGGTCCTAATCGTCCTCCTCCTCACCATCAGCGGCTACCCAATTCTCATTCTTAACCTACGACTGTCCTCCTCATCCTTCATCCTTCCTCCCTTCCTCCTATCCCCTCCTACCCTTCCCCCTCAATATTCCACTACTCGCCCCTCTCCATCGTGAGATCAAACTCGGACCTGATTACAATGTACTGAAACAAGACTTGCGAATCTGTGGGGTGCTCGGGCACAGCAACCGCCCCCGATATGAGCACGCCAGCCGCTTCCTTCGCCATCCTGCGCTCCTCCGTCGCCTGTGGCGAAAACTGCCCCCCCCCCCCCCCCTTCCTCCGCCCCCTTCTCGCGCGGTGCGTCGTTGAGGGGGTCGACTTTTGGACGCTGCCATGTTGAGCCCTGCGGGCGCAGGACAGAAACATAAAGCTGAACCACTTTTTTTTTCCACAACAGTTGGACAGTTGGGGGTGCTGTTGCGGTAGAGCTAATTCTTCCCGAGGGGCGCGACGAGACACCCTCAAAAAATGAAGTCGGGGACGTTTCGCCTGAGACATCCTCACAACTTTCGTTTCCGAATTGGCCGGGATTGTACCGGGATTGGGCGTTTCGCATGGGACGTCCTCGCATATCGAAACTCCGAGATGCTGCGCGCGGGGAGGCCTGTCCCGTTCCGACTGAGACATCGCTGAACTTCTGGGCTCAGAGAGAGAGAGAGAGAGAGAGAGAGAGAAAAAAGAGAAACAAACAAGAGGGAGAGAGAGAGAGACAGGAGTGAGGAGGGATGAGGTGCCAGACGTAAACGAACCAGTTGATTCTACTTCTGTTGTCAAGCTGTGTTCTGGGAAGGGGTCTGGGCGCCGCCTGCCTGATACATCCTCGCAACTCTAGGCTCCGAGATGCCGCTGGCGAGGTGGCCCAGTACCTTTCGCCTGAGACATCCACGCAACATTGGGCTCCGAGATGCCGCACGAAGAAGTGGTCCGGCGAGTTTCACCTGAGGCATCCTCGAAATTCTAGGCTGCTAAATTTCGCGCACGAGCAGGTCTGGCGCGTTTCGCCCGACACATTCTCGCAACTCTGGGCTCCAACATGCCGCGCGCGAGGCGATTCAGCGCGTTTCGCCTGATGCATCCTCGCAACTCTGAGCTCGGAGATGCTGCGCGAGACGTGGTTCGGCGCGTTTCGCTTTAGACATCCTCGCAGCTCTGGGCTCCGTGATGCCGCGCGCGAGGTGGTCAAGCGCGTTTCGCATGAGACATCCTCGCCATTCGGGGCTCCGAGATGCCGCGCGCAAGGTAGTTCCGTTTTTTTCGCCTGAGACATCCTCGCAATTCTGGGCTCCGAGATGCTGTGCGAGAAGGTGGCCGGCCCGATATGCCTCAGATGTCCTCGCAACTCTGGGCTCCGAGATGCCGCGCGAGAGACGGTCCAGCCCGTTTCGCCTGAGACATGCTCACAACATTTTCGAGACGCCGTGATGCCGTGCGCGAGGTAATTCGGCGCGAATCGCCTGAAGTGTCCTCGAAACTCTGGGCTCCGAAATGCCGCGTGAGAGGTGGTCCGCCGGGTTTCGCCTGAAACATGCTCACAACTCGTTTTCGAGATGTCGCGCGCGAGGTGCCCCGGCGCGTTTTGCCTGAGACATCCTTGAAAACCGGGGTTCCCAAATGCCGCGCGCGAGGTGGTCTTGCCCGTTTGGCCTGACACACCCTAGCGGCTCTGGGCTCCGAGATGCCGCGCTCGAGGTGGTTCGGTCCGTTTCGCACGAGACATTCTGGAAACTCTCGGCTCCGAAGGAGGCGAAGGAAGAGGGAGGGGTCACACCCAAACAAACCATTCGATTCCACTTCTGTTGTCGAACTGCGCTCTGGGAGGGGTCTGTGCGCCGCCTGAGACATCCTCGCAAGTCTGGGCTCCGAGACACCGCTCGCGAGGTTGTCTGGCGCTTTTCGCCTGAGACATCCTCGCAACTCGGCGCTCGTCTGGCGGGTTTCGCCTGAGACATTCTCGCAGCTCTGGGCTCTGAGAAGGTGCCGCGCGAGAAGTGTTCTGGGCCGTTTCGTCTGAGATATGATCGCCATTCGGGGCTTCGAGATGCTGCGCGCGAGGTGGTCTGACCTGTTTCGCACGAGACAAGATCCAAACTCCCGGCTCCGAGGGAGGCGAAGGAAGAGAGAGGGGTCACACCCAAACGAACCATTCGATTCCCCGTCTGTTGTCGAACTGCGCTCTGGGAGGGGTCTGGGCGCCGCCTGAGACATCCTCGCAACTCTGGGCTCCGAGACACCGCTCGCGAGGTTGTCTGGCGCGTTTCGCTTGAGATAAGGGAATTCGAGGCATCGAGATGCTGCGCGCGAGGTGGTCTGGCCCGTTTCGCACGAGACATCGTCGAAATTCTGGGCTCCGTGAGAGACGAGGGAAGCGAGAGGAGGGGTCAGACCCAAACGAACTTTTTGATTACACTTCTGTTGTTGGATTTTGCTCTGGGAGGGGTCTGGGCGTCGCCTGAGCCTCGCAACTCCGTGCCGCTCGTGAGGTTGTCTGGCTCGTTTCGCCTTAGACATCCACGCAACACTGGGCTCCAAGATGCCGCACGCGAGGTGGTCTGGCCCGGTTCGCTTGAAACGTCCTCGACATTCTTGGCTCCGAGAGAGGCGAGGCAAGAGGGAGGAGGGGTCAGACCCAAAGGAACCATTTGAATACAATTCTGCTGTCGAATTGCGCTCTGGGAGGGGCCTAGGCGACGCCTGAGACAGCTGATTCCAATTCTGTTGTCGAATTGCGCTCTGGGAGGGGCCCAGGCGACGCCTGAGACAGCCTCGCAACTCTGGAATTCGAGATGCCGCGTGAGGTTGTCTGGCGCGTTTCGCCTCAGGGATTCCTGCAACTCTCTGCTCCGAGATGCCGCGCGCGGAGTGCGATGAGGAGGTCACGGACATGGAGTAGGAGGAGGGGGGGGAGAACGAGGAGGAGGAGGGGGAGGAGGAGGAGGAAGTGGATAAGGAGAACGAGGATGAGGAGGCGGAGGGGGAGGAGGAGGAGGAGGAGGAGGAGGAGGAGGAGGAGGAGGAGGAGGAGGAGGAGGAGTAGGAGGAGGAGGAGGAGGAGAACAAGGAGGTGGGATGAGGCGGTACAGGAGGAGGGGGGGGAGGAGGAGCATCGGTATGATGATGAGGAGGAGAACGAGGAGGTGAGATGAGGCGGTACAGGAGGAGGGGGAGGAGGAGGACGAGGCGGAGCAGGAGAAGGTCTTCCTCTGAGCGGTAGTCGGCTGCGGCGCACCCTCCACCTGCCCTCTCCGTTCTCGCCCATCGGGCGCCACACATGCATCGAATCGTGCCCGCGCGCGAACTGCCATGCTCGCGCCCGCCCCGCTGGCTTCACACATCACTGACTCAGCAAAACCCCTCCCGACCTTCCTGGACCCCCCCACGGGCCACCCGGAAGAGGCGGCAGCCACATGATTTCGCTTCTTCTTCGCGCGAATGACACTGAAGCGCGGCTCAAGGCGAGCTGGCGCAAGATGGGGTTCTGCATGTATTGATTGATGGTCTATTGGTCCGCGCGCTCCTGGTAAGGCACGGCGATCCTTGGTCTCCCGCCGGCCGGGCGATCGCGGCAGATCACCCCGCTCCCCGATGAGACACGACCTGGAAAAGACGCGCGCGCGCCCGAGTCTGGGCTGGCCTTAGGTCGGGCATGTCCCCCTACAGGTGGATTTTGGAAGAAAAGTAAAACATAGTCGAACAAATATCAAAAGCAGTCAAACATAATCGACAAATCTTCCCCCGACTTGTTTGCCTGTGTTTGAATCTTCCCCCTGTGGAAGGACATGCCCGACTTAAGGCTGGCGTGCCAGGCAGGGAACCGAGCAAAGCATTGGGAACAACTCCGCGGGGAGGGCAACAGGCGTGGGGATGATCCTGCTGAGCTCTTCTGCAACCCTCCCCGCTGTGTGTGTGTGCAGTATTTCCGACATCCTGCGCGCCAACTGCCCGCTAGGCAAGAGAACATTGTCTGCCACCGTGCCCTGAAGCACGAGATGGAATGTCCTCAGGTCCTCCGAGTCCTCCATTCTCAATGATAGAGTGAAGTGGCCCGGACCCCAATTCTTTCATAGATCCCGGGCTTCTCGTGTGACTGCCCCAGAATCAAGAGGGCCGCCGCATGGGCCAAAAGGGCCACAAGAGGCCCTCGAGACGGCCCAAGCGGGCCACGTTGCCGGCCAAAGTGCGCTTGAATATGCCCAAGACGGCTCAAGACGGCCCAGTAGTTTCCTAAGACGCCCTAAGAGGGCTCCAGCAGGCCCAACAATCATGCCCCCCCAAATGCCAAAGTCATTGGTGTCACATTAGTGCTGCGAAGATTTTGGAAATGTCGCACTATCCCATTTCCGACCGATCAAGACGGCCCATGAGGCCCCCGAGATCGCCTCAAAACGGCCCAAGACGTCCTGAAACTGCCCCAAGAGGGGCCCCAGAGGGGAGACACGAACCGACATTTCGAGCTCTCCGCTCCGAGAGCTCTCCAGAAGCAGGCCCCAAAGAGCCCCCCAGAAGTTCCAGGAGGCCCCCAAGAGGCCCAAATCAGGCCCCAAGAAGCTCCCAAGATGCTTCCGAAAGGCCCCCAAGACACCCGAAGATACTTGCCTGGCCGCAGGTGCCCCCCCGGAGCCATGGCCGAAACTTGCTATCCCGCCTCGGGCCTGGGCGGTGGGCGAGGGAGTGGAGCAGTCGTAAAGCGAATGAATCACCGAATCCCCGGTCCCCAGAACCAATATTCAGGGATGATCAAAGCCGCCTCCAAGAGGCTTCCGAGATGCCTCCCAAAAGATCCCCGCAGGCATCCAGGAGGCCTCAGACCTACAACCAAAGCATGGTGACGGGATGGGCCGAAAGCCACTAGATCCGCCACCCCCTGTGGCTTGCCACGGCGGCGCACCGCGTGCCAACAAAAAAACACAAACAAATGTCCAAGAGCCGTCGGCACAACCCGCGGGCCACCCAGAGAGTCGCGGAAATACTTCAACGTGCACAACAGAACGTACCGAGACGGCCAAGATAGCCCACGATAGCCGCCGAAATGCCTCCTATACGGCCAAGATGGCCCAAGATGGCATCCAAGACGGTCCCAAGATGTCTCCAAGATGGGCAGATCTGCATCCAAGATGGTTTCCAGATCGCCCAAGAGGCCTTCAAGACTGCCCAACAGGCTTCCAAGATGACCTCTCAGATGCCACAACTAGTTGTTTTTGTTTCCCGAAGGCCCAAGACGGCCCCAGAGGCCACCAACATGGCCACGAGAGAGCGCCCACGAGGCCTCCAAGATGGCGTCCCGACGGCCCAAGAGCCCCCCCACGACGGCCCTAAGTGGGCTCCAAGACGGCTCAGGAGACCTCCAAGGCGGCCTGAGAGAACTGCGTGTCTTTGAAGCCGGATCTGCCTCAAAACCTGTGCGGTTCTGCAGCCGGACCTGGCTTCAAAAACACGCCGTCCTCTCAGGCCGGCTTACAAAACTGCGCGTCTCTTCAACAAGATCCGGCTTCAAAAGCCCGCAGTGCTCTCAGGCCGGCTCGCTGGTCTCCAGGACGGCCCTGATCGGGCGTTGGCAGAACTGGGTTTAGTGGGACCTGGTTTACTGATCTGTACTGGGCCCCCCCCCCCGTCCCATTCCACTAACCAGGATTGCCGTCGCCCGAAAAAACACCAGCTATGGCAAACCTGGTTTAGTGATTCTGGCCCATTCCAGAGCTCCGGGGCCCTACCACCAGCCAGGTCCCCTTACCATGGGGTCCTGGCCGAACCCGACCTGAAGCGCCCCAAGGAGGCCCCCAAAGTCGCCCCGAGAGGCCCGCAGGACGGCTGCCGACGGCGGCCGGGGGCCAGGGCCGCCCCCCCCAACGGCCAAGGAGCCTCCCAGCGAGCTGCCAAAGGGCTCCCTGGCGGGGAGACGTGAGTCAGAAGCCAGGCGAAGGCTGGCAATCCCGTGGCTGCAAAATTGGAGGCCTGGAAATGAGCACCAATACCAACACAGGGGGCTGCCTCCACAGGGGGAAGGTGATCCTAGATTTCGGTGTTGGTGGCAATATTTCGGCCACCTCGGCAGCCAGAATATTACCACCATCACCGAGATCGCAATCTTCTTCCCTCGGTGGAGGCACACCGTCGATATTGATGTTGGTGTCAACCTCTAGGCCTGCGATAAAACGGAGCTCGGGCAAATTGTTTTCTGTTTTTCGAGGAGGCAGCCCGTCTCCTATTTAATGCGCTGAGCTCTATTCTGGCAAATTGTGTGCTTTCTTCCGGGAAGACTGTTTTAGCAACCACGGACTTGCCGGCTGCCAGCCCTCGCCCAGCTTCCGAGTGAGACTCGGGTCAGGGGGGCTCGGGTTGGCCCAACGGGGACATCATGGAAGTGACGAAACCCACTCGTAAATTTGACGCGGGCTCCCAATGCAGACAACCCATGAAAACTGGACCGTCAAATTCAGGACTGGCTCAGAAAGAAACGCCGGCAAACCCAAGTCCAAGCATACTCGAGTCTTACGATTCCCCGACCCCGGGCCCACGGAAACCTCCGAGAGGCATCCAAGAGGCCCCCAGGACTCTCCCTGAAGGCCACAAGAGTGCCCCAAGAGGCTCCCAAAAGGGCCTCCTCCTCCTGTTCCACCGTTTTTTCCCCTTGACCCTCCTCCTCTTCTTTCTCCCCCTCGTGTTCTCCCAAGGGTTTCCACACAAGCTGGAGGAACACGTAGTCCGATAGCTTGGCCGAGCTCTGGGCGCAACGTTCGGCCACACAGGCTCTTCCAAAAAGCAGAAGGGGGGCAATTTGCCGCAAGCATCTTCGAAACACCCCACAACGAACGGTCCTCTGGCCCACACTCAGAAAACACGGAAACGAAGAGCTGGAGCAGCCGGCGAACCGACACAAGGGTTCATCTGAGACGCATTGTGCAAAACGGATGCTACAACCCGCTGGATTAAAAAGTTGGGACGGCGGGGTTCGAGAGAGAGAGAGAGAGAGAGAGACGCTGTTGGCCACCCGTTAGGCCATGGGGCCCAGGACAATGTTGGATTTGATGCCGAATTGGGAGTTTCAGACGCATACCTCACCCCCTTTAATATTATCAAGGCCAAATGGGGCCGGCGTCTGAAAGTGGCATTCCGCCTAGGACATTCTCAAAAAAGTTTCAGATCGCCTTCCAGGGCGATCTGAAATTCTCCCATGCCGTCTGAAAGTGGCGATTTCGCTTAGGACTTCTTTTATAAAAAGTTTCAGATTGATGTTCATGCCGCCTGAGAGTGGTCGTTTCGCTTAAGACGTCCTCAAACAGCACTTTCAGGTTGCCTTCCATGCCGCCAGAAGACAAAGATTTCGTGTGCGATGATTTCCATAATTTTGTGCTGCAGAGCTCCACGCCCTGCGGAGCCGTTCCGTCATTCGGTTCACGGGCCTGCCTTGAAGTCATCTCGGGGTTCATCGATGGTGGAGGCTCGAGGGCCAATCGACCGGCGAAACCCGCGGGGATCGCTCTCTCGCATAGTGCCGGTCACAACTTTTCAATCCAGAGGATGGTAGTTGTACTGCCTCCGAGCTGCCAAACCCGGTCGGAAACACGTCGTCGAAAAGGACATAACGCAAAAACTCATACGGCAAAATAGCAAACGCGACATAGCGAGAGAGATGGAAAGAGAGAGAGAGAGAGAGAACGAGAAAGAGAATGAGAGAGAGAGAGAGAACGAGAGAGAGAGAGAGCGAGAGAGAGAGAGAGAGAGAAACAAAAAACGAGGGAGAGAGAGAGAGACGAGAGAAAAGGAGACTGCAGTGACCTCGAAATACGCAAACGACTCACCATACAATGGGAGCTCGATCATAAGCACCTTCCGCAAGAAACCCAAGCCTGATACCCCAGGACGTCTACTGACTTTTGGTGCGGGAACATCACGCTGTCCATAGCAACACTATCGAAGCCCAAGAAACCCAGCGCACCCTGGAGGCAAGCATGGTGCTTCTTGGCATGGGTTTCCACTGTACGATCTGTCACCAAACCGTTTTGGGTCCTTGGAGGCCCCGCCTCAATTACCCGAGACGTCCTCGGACAGCGGCCCAAATCCCAAAACCGTGCGGTCACCTAGGATCTCCACTGACTCACCGAAAGGTCACCGCACCGACTGGAGGCCCGCAACCTCGGCGCTTGGTAACAAGTGGCACGCATGCCCTGGCTCTTGCACGGGGGAGACCGCGGGCGAGGTGAGGCGGGGTGAAGGGGGGGTTCTTGGGGCCATCCTGGCTTTCTCCTGGGGCCGTCATGAGCATCATGAGGCAGCAGGGGCAGGAGGGCCCGGGTGGGCGACGAGCGAGCGAACGAACGACAACGACGACAATCAAGGGCTCCGAGCCCTAGAACAACTGCTAGGAGGGCCTGCCCCGACGGTGGTGCCAGGGGTGTGAGTGAGCGCCAGCGGCGTGCGGTGTCTGCCCGAGGGGAGGGTCGATCTGGGTCTGTCTCGACGGGCCCTCGCGCGCCCGAAGAGCTCCCCGAAGGGCCCCAGGGGCCTCCCGAGAGCCCTTGGATGGTTCGGAGAGGCTTCCAGAGGATCCAAGATGGTCATGTCTGGAAAAAGCAGGGGCTCATCTCTCCTTCGGTTGGACTGGTGTGCCCCCTGACTACTTCACTGATGCTACGTCCGCCCCTTCTCACGACAACTCGCCTCGGATTTGTCATGTCGGTTGGCTGTTGGATCAAAACAGCTGACCGGTCGCTCCAGCACTTATGAAGCGCATGAGCAGCCCGTGAGGGCCTTCTTCACCCACAACCTCTCGATCGGCCAGAGGGTGGTCACAGGTTTAGTATTGTCAGTCTTGTTGCTTGCAGTAAGGCCGCGGTAAAACCTGGCCCGCCGCTGACCGATCTTCTCGGGCTCAAAGAAATAATGGGAACTGGTGCGACACATCATTTCATGCCCAAGGGTAACAGTGTCCACGACTCTTCCTCGACAGGTCTGCCATTATCATACATCATTGATTGAATGAGTGCGCATGTCTAGATTTAGATGGCAAAACATGTATCCTTATCGTCCATGAAAGCTGGTGGCCATGGTCATATTAAACTTGTCTGGACATTCGATGTAACCCACCGCAAGTATTTGCACGTACTGATCCTGGGCCGGATGTCGGTCCATCGTCTTGGTCGCCGATTGTCCTTGCCGATTGCACGTGAAAGCGCACAATAGCGTGAGTGCTGGCGCAGTCGTGCTATGATTTTCAAGGCGTGAGTGGCAAGCGAAACAGAAGGAGGCGGACCATATTGTCGATTGGTATGGCTTCGGACTGCGCACAAGCATCCCCCCCCCCCAGGCAGTCCTTGCCCGGCCGGCTGGCCTCAACAGCCCCCCTGAGTAGCCCCGGCTGTCCTCAACAGGCCCACCGAATAGTTCGGGGCGGTCTCAACACCACAACCGTGGGGTTAAGTCGGGCATGTCCTCCCACAGGCGGCTTTCGAGAAAATCTAAAATAGTCACATGAATCGTCAGAACTAGTCGAAAAATCGCCCCAAGACCATTTTCAACTATTCTTGAATATTCCTCCTGTGGAGGGATATGCCCGACTTGCGCCAGGGGCTCGGAGCGCCCCAGGGTGCCGCCGGAGGCGGCCGCCAGCTTATTGAGACCGCCCCGGACTTCTCGGGGGGTCTGTCGAGGCCAGCCGGGGCTACTCGGGGGACTGCTGAGGCCAGCTGGGGCCACCTGCGGGGGCAGTCCGTGCGCAACCCGAAGCCTCGCCACTGCCGATGCCGTGCTTGGAGGCCTCCAGGATAGGGTCTGAGCGGACGGGGTCGCAGGATTGCGCCACATCTCCGATGCATCGGTGATGCGGCTCGATGTGGAGCCCGACTTTCTCCGTGCCGATGTCGCCGATGCATCGGCGATGCGGCGAGATCCTCCGACCCCCACCCGCTCGAACCCCACACGGGAGGCCTGGAGTGCTCTTCCCGAGCCCGCGCAGGCATGCCGCCACCGTCGCCTCCTCAGCTCCGGCGGCGCTCGCCTCTGCCCCCTCGCGCGAGATCGCCTCAGACGCCGAAGCCTGAACCGGCCGGCAAGCACCACCTCCCGGTCTGCCGACAGCGACACCACGACCCCGAGCACGCAGCCCCCGGGAGGAGGGCGAGTCTACGCGGCGAGCCGGGAGCCGAGGCGCCGCCAGTCCAAGATCGGCTCCCAGACCCCCCCGGGGTCCGGACGCACCAGACTTCCTAGGAGGGAAAGAACACGGGGACCATGACCAAGACTGAACGCGGAAGCGCCTGTGCCGATCTCGGTCACCATCCCATCTTGGGCACCGTTCCTTCGTGGATCGTCCTCGCGAATCGGCGACGGCCGACATGGACCATGAGCACGACGAGATCCCGCGGCATCTTGGCCATGGCCAGCTCGCTTCTGCCCTCGACTCTTTCGAGCTGCGCCCAGCCGTGGCGACGAGGCCCCCCCCGAAGGGCCAACGGCACCGCTTGCTTCGGCTCGCCCTCCTCGGAGCCCCGGCGCGGCCGCGCACCCGTGCGCAGGCGGCGACGAGGCCCGGCGCGGCCCCCCCTCGCTGCGCTCCTCTGAAGAGGCCTCCCGCGCGGGGTCCGCACGGGCGCGGCCGGAGGGCCGCGGCGCACCGACGACACATATCGGCGACGCCTCGTCGACGTCGGCGACGTCGACGTGAAGCAGGATGGGGATCCACACAGCTACGCATCGCCGACGCGGAGCGATCCATCGGCCCCACCCGCTCGGACCCCATCTGGGAGGCCTGGGCTCTCGCGGCCGCCGCCGCGAACCGGACGGGCGCGAAGAAAAGGCCCCCACGGCGCCGGGCGCGGGCAAGGGCTGCAACACTGCGGCGCAGCGTACGCACACGACAAGAGGAGACACGACGAAAGCGGGAGACGGGAGGCGGGAGGCGGGAGGTGGAGGAGGAGGAGGAGGAGGAGGAGGTGGAGGAGGAGGAGGAGGAGGAGGAGGAGGAGAAGAACGAGGAGGAGGAGGAGGAGGAAGAGGAGGAGGAGACCAAGGGGCTCGCACACACGGGCGCGCAGGCCTCCCGCAGAGGCCGCCCATGCCCCCGGGCCAGGCTCGCAGCGCGGCCGGCCCGGGCGGGCGCAGCGCTCGCGCGCGCGCGCGTCAGCCGCGCGCCGCGCACGGAGGAGGCGTCGGGGAGCATACGGTCTCCGGACTTCTCGAGGTCCCTGGGCGGCGGAGCGGGGGGGAGGATCTCGAGGGGGATGACGGTGAGGAGCACCAGAGCTCCTCCTTCCTACTTCGCGTCCCTGTCGTCGTCCTCCTCCTCTTCCTCCCTCCTCCTCCTCCTCCTCCTCCCTCCTCCTCCTCTCCTCCTCCTCCTCTCTCCTCCTCCTCCTCCTTCTCCTCCTCCTCCCCATTCCTCCCTCCTCATCCTCCTCCCTCCTCCTCCTCCTCTCCTCCCTCCTCCTCTCCTCCTCCTCCTCCTCCTCCTCCTCCTCCTCCTCCTCCTCCCTCCCTCCTCCTCCTCCTCCTCTCCTCCTCCTCCTCTCCTCCTCCTCCTCCTCCTCCTCCTCCTCCTCCTCCTCCTCCTCCCCCTTCTCCTCCTCCTGTTCCCCCCCCCTACCGTTCGTTCGTTCGTTCGCAGTTTGAGGGCAGAGAATAAGGCCGATCTCGAAGGGTGGATGTGGAGAGGGCGGCGGCAGCGGCAAGCACGGCAGCCAGCACTAATTACAGACAGTTGCAATCCTCGTGGGCCATGCGCTGCCCTCTATAATTTCTGGCGGAGGCTACACCGGTCCTGCGGTCCTTACCAGTGACCTGCTCACCCTCCTTCTCTTCTGGTCCCTCCTGGGGAACCCAAAAGGCACCGATACCGCTGCTCCCCAGGCCTCTCCCCTGGGGTGCGTTCTGATCAGAACTTCGAGGCGAATCCGGCGGTGGCGACGAGGGCCTCCCAGGAGACCGTAAACGGCGGAAACGAAGCACGGTCAGAGCGGTACCGGTACCTGCTCCTCCGACCTCCCCCTCGTCCTGCTCTTCCTGCCCCTTCTTCCCCAGGAAGCCTCCGTGGCGCGCGACCGCCGGTCGCAGCTCGAACAGGTGGACGAAGCCATCAACGGCCACCCTGCGCACCTGTCGGGATCCACCACAGGGGGGGGGTCCCTGAGGGGGGGCATGGGTTCGATCCGTTGGTGCACCGAGCTGCCGCAAACAGACGCCCCCCGCATGCCCCACCTATCGGCAATCATCGGGAGCTGCCTGCGGCTGTGGCGCGTCTGTTTTGGGCGGACCGGTGCAAAAGCCGATCGAACTCCCCCCTCCCCCCCCGGGCCCCCCCTCCCCCTTTGCGGGAGCGCGAACCTGGAACGCCCGCCCGGCGCGGCGCAGGAATGCCCCCACGCCGCACTCGGGCCGCAGCTCGCTGGCCAGTAGGCAGCGCAGCTCGGGGCAGCCCGCTGCGAGCGCCTCTCGGCGGCGAGGGGGTGACATTGGGTCGGGCATGTCCTCCTACAGGCGGGCTTCGACAGAGAAATGAAGAGTAGCCAAAACGTATTCAAACATGGTCGAACGGTGATAGGAGGAACGTCCCTAGACTATCTTTGGACCACTTTGGGGAATTCCTCCTGTAGAGAGAGGGACGTGCCCGCCCGACGTGATTGAAGGGGTCCTGGGACACACAAATAAATACACACAAATAACCAGATTCCCAATATGTTCCCGTATTTTCTGGGTTTTTGTGTTCCCCCCACTTCCCATATTTTCGTATATTTTCTGGGGGATCGACGATTCATTGTGTCTGTGTGTTTTTCCCCTCCCGAGTTATGGCGCAAGCGAGGAGGGGGGCAGGCCTTCTCCGAGGGCGGCGGGCCTGCCTGGAGGCCCTCGCGCCTTCCGAGCAGCCGCCTGTGGCTTCGGAGGCCTGCAGAGCTTCTCAGAAGGCGCGCCCCCCCCCCCCCCCCCAGGTTTGATGAAGGGGCCCCAGAACACACAAATAAATACACACAAATAACAAGTTTTCCCAATATTTTCCTATACTTTCTGGGTTTTTGTCTTCCCCCACTTCCTATATTTTCGCATATTTTCCTGGGGATCGGCGATAAGTTGTTTGTGTGTTTTTTCCCCTCCTGGCTTGAGTCGGGCATGTTCCCGACAAATAGTGTGGGGACGTGTTCCCGACTTTTTTCTACGATTGTTGCTTATTTGTTTGTCATTTTTTTCATTTTTTCACCAAGATCCACCTCTATAGGAGGACATGTCAGCCCTAACCCCATGCATGCGATGTCCTGATTTTTGTTCAGCGCGAGGTCCCCGCGCGAGGTCCCCAGGGCCAGTTTTTCGTCCCGTGTCGTGTTTTCGACGGCGTCGGGCCTGGTAGAAGGGCCCCCAGAGGCCCAAAAAACTGTCAAAACACAGCCGTCCTGATGTTTGCGTCAGGACGCGAGCATATCTGGGTCTCACCTCCTCCTGCGCTCGCCGCTGATAGAGGCCTCCTAGATGGGGTCCGAGTAGATGGGGTCGAAGGATCGCGCCGCATCGCCGATGTATCGGTGATGCATCGGCGACGTCGGCGATGCATCGGCGACGTCGGTGTGGGAAAACATGGGATCCACATCGAGCCGCATCGGCGATGCATCGGCGATGCGGCTCGATCCTCCGACCCCATCTACTTGGACCCCATCAGGGAGGCCTAGAATGTCTGGGTCTCACCTCCCCCTGAGCTCGCCGCTGAGGCCTCGAGGAACTCCGCCAGCGCCTCCGCGGCCCCGAAGAGTCTCTGCAGGATGCAATCGCACGCGATCACGGTGTCCACGACGGGCGCTCCGAGCCGCGCTGGGAGCTCGCGCGCGGCGTCGGCGGACCAGTCGAGCGTAAGCATTAGGTCAGGCATGTCCTCCTACAGGCTGATTTGGAAGAAAAAATGGAAGATAGTCGTACATATTCAAAATCGTCAAGCAAGTACAGTCATCGGCCTGACCTAAGGAACGATAAATAAGGAACGAAGCCCCTTCCTATCCCAAGGAATAACGCATAAGGAACGATCAATAATAGATAACGCAGAAGGAACTGTAAATGACGCATGTAAAATCTAAGGAACGACCGAACCCCTTTTGAAAAGTAAGTGTTTCTTATTCAAGCCGCTCACTGTAGGAAAAAAGCGTCCCCAGACTACTTTTTGATTATTTTTGAATGTTCCTCCTGTAGAGGGGCGTGCCCGACTTAACGGAAGGACCGAGAAGGTCGTGCCAGGGTGGGACTCGAAATTCCGCGCCGCGTTTTCCTCCAACAGCGCGAGCACCTGCCAAGGACAACACAGCCCACCTCCACCCCCCGCCAGGACCCCCACTCCCGACCTGTTGGCCCAGGGGGTCCTGGCTGGGGGTGGGGGTGGGTTTTTTTGGGCGGGTGGGTTAACCGGCCTCGAACTTGCCCCTATCCCTGAGATTGAGTGGCCCAGAGGCGATGGCAACCTTAGGGATGCGCCCGCAAGAACGGAGAGAATCCTCAAGGTCGGCATCGAGATAGGATGATGCCAATCATTGGGATAAGGATACCCAGACCCCCGACATCGTGATTTTGTCAACCCCCAGAGGTCTGGACCGCTTCCCCGGGACCGGTTCTTCAGCAAGGGCCCCCGGAGGCCGAAACTAGCGCAAAACCTCCCGTCGCGTTTTTTTTCCCAACGCGAGGAGGTCTGGGCATGCTTCGGACTGTCGGCGCGCAGAGGGGGGTATGGGGGAGAGGGGACAGCTTCTCAGAAGGGGGCTGCTTCTTAGAAGGCGCCGGCCTTACATCTACAGAGAAGGCCCGCGCCTTCTAAGAAGCGGGGGTGCTTCTAGGAAGCCTTCCCCCCTCCCCCTACCCCCCTCTGCGCGTGGCCGAAACGGCCCCCGGAGGCCGAAAAGCTAGCGCGATGCAACGGCGATGCATCGGCGACGTCGGCGTGGAGACAATCGGGCTCCACATCGAGCCGCACCGGTGATGCCTCGGCGATGCGGCGAGATATCCTCCGTACTCCGACCCCGTCTGGGAGGGGAGGCCTAGAAACCCAGACATGCGACGCCCTGATTTCTTCAGGACGGCGTCCCCGGAAGTCTGGAGCCTTTCTTTCCCCGGGGCCGGTTTTGCAGCCTGAGCCGTTTTTCGGGTCGGGCGAAAGGGGGGGATAGCAAAGGGGGGGTTTGAGAATCAGCTCACGCAGCTGATTTTCCCGGCGCCTCCCGGCGCCGGGAGGCGCCCATGTATCGAGGAATGGGCCCCTCGGTGAGGCCGAAACCAGCTGCATGCAGCAAATTTCGTAACCCCCCCTTTCCCAAACCCCCCCTTTCGCCCGACCCGAGTTTTTGGACGGTCCCGGGGCCCGGCCAGGGCTTTCAGGGGCCGAGAGTGGCCGGACGTCTCCCGTCCCGATTGTTCTTTTTTCGACGCGGCCGTGCCTGGGACCCCGATCTGAGAGGCCTCGAAAGCAGGCCGTGCGGTGCCCGCCTGCGGCACGCGGTCCGTCGCCGCCACGCGCCTCGCGCCCAGGGCGGCGCACGCCAGGGCCGGTAGGCCCAGGCCGGCGCCGAGCTCCAGCACGCAGGCGCTGCCCCGCACGGCGGCCGACCACTCCGCGCTCCTTCGGTGTGGCAAAGCTCGTGGGGGCAGACAGGATCGCGCCGTAACAAAAAAATCGGGGCGGCACATTTTTCATGATTTTCGGCCCCTGGGGGCCCTAGCCGGGCCTCGGGACCGTCCAAAAACGACTCAGGATGAAAAACCGGCCCCGGGGAAAGGGTCTGGACTTCTGGGGACGCCGTCCAACTAATGGGAGCCTCCCATACCATCTTGAGAAGGAGAAAAAGAGCCATAAACATAAACTTTTGGCGCTTCGCTCGAATTTCTTGGATCTGCGCTGGGCCACCCCCGGCGGCGCCTCCAGCGCCACCCCTGGCGCGCTCCGCGCGCCAGGGAGTGGCGTTTTTCCTGACTCGAATCTTGTCGGCTGTTCCAAATCGACGCTAATCGACGCTAAATCGACACTCAATCGACGCTACATCGGCGCTACCTCTTCGACTCCCAGACGCTAATCGACGCTAGTCGACGCTAGAGACAGAAGTGCGAGGATATACCAGGCTCCCATGATTGGCTACCGAACGCTCCCGAGGATGTGCGCGGTGGCGTGCACGGCGGCGTCCCACAACAGCGTGCCGGTCCAGTTGCCGCTTCTCGAGGAACAAACGGCGGCACAAACATATGCACTTCGGGAGGTCCACGCGGACTTCTCGGATCGGCGCTGGACACCCCCGTTCCAACCGCGTTGTGCGTGATTTCCACAAAGCTTTGTTCTGGATTTGCCTCGGGAATGGCACGATGTTGTTCATAAATTTATTCATCCGACTTGTCTTCATCAGTTCAGTCATCCGTAATTGATTCGTCATTTGGCTCTGCATGACTTTGTGCATTTCCTTCGCAACGTTCTCGTGACTATTGTACATTCCTCTCATCCTTTCATGTCTTCCTTTTGTAAAATCGCCGGACAAAGCATCCTGTCGTAACGGCTGCTACGGCATGACTTGAATTGCGGTAGCTCTCGCAGATGCCCCACGATTCAGATCTTGTGGAAGGTCGCTATAGCGGGAATCATTGTGTAACGCCTACTAACAAAAGGCTTTCAAGTGTCGGGGAGGTGCAACCAATGATAATAGCGACGATCACATGTTTCCTTAGCTTTTTCCTACAGTCTGCGGGCTGTTGTTGGATTCAAATGAGCAGAACATATCGGGCAGATTTGGGGTCCAAAATCATGCTCTCACGACGACGTCTGGCGGCTTGAGTCGGGGTCCGTCTGGGGCACTGGTGATGGCTCAGTCAGGGGTACATTCAGGCACATTCAAGTACATTCGGGGTTCATTCGCGCTTCATTCGGGTGGTTGCCGTCGTCGTTGTCTGTCGGTCGCCGTCGGTCCACGTCGTCGTCATCGTCGATCACTCGGTCGGCAAATCGATCATTAGACGGACAAGCCACGCAACAATTCTCACTAGCAAATTCGTCCACTGACTGGCCAGTCAATTGACTGTTCTTGGTAGTGAAATCTGATTGAGCAGATCATATCGGGCAGGTTTTGGGTCCAACGTCATGTTCTCACGACGACGTCTGGGGGCTTGAGTCGGGGTTCGTCTGGTGCGCTGGTGAGGGGTCGGTCGGGCTACATTCTGGTACATTCCAGGGTTCATTCGGGTTCATTCGGCCCGAGCTGGTTTTTGCAAGATTCGGAGCCCGAAGTGGCACATTCGCCTGAAGCCGCCCGTCGCTTACAAACTACCTAAAGTGGAACCCCATCTGTGGGGTGGGGGGGGGACGGGGAGGGGAGGCCGCGTCCTCGAAACGCTCCGTTCTAGACTTGTTCCTGGCCCGCGCGTTCTAGAATTTGACCTCGGCCCGTTGCGGTCGGCGTCGTAGATTTGGCCGTCAGGATTTTACTACGAAGCCCGTCGTTGTCGTCGGTCGTCGTCGTCGTCGGTCGGTCGGTCCGTCGGTCCGTCCGTCCGTCCGTCCTCGTCGTCGTCGTCGTCGTTCGACCGTCGTTGGTCAGTCGGTCGGTCGTTCTGTCGGTCGGTCGGTCGGGGGTCGTTGCCGTCGTCGTTGTCTGTCGATCGACGTCGTCGATCGTCGTCGTCGTCGTCGTCGTCGTCGTCGTCGTCGTCAATGGCTGGGTCGGCCAGTCGGTCATTCGACGGTCACACCGCGCCCAAATTTTCACCAGCATGCTAGCCCACCACTGACTGTAATCCCCCTCGTCAAAACACACGTTTTGATTGTTCTGAATGTTTTCCCCATGTTTTCTTTGTGAGCTCCCGCGGCCCCACGGAGCCGCCACTGAGATAGCCGACGATCCCCCAGACAGACTGTGTCATTCCAACAGGATTTCATAGTTGTTCCTTAATGTCCCATGTGACAACACATTGGATACGGTGAAGGCATGTTTTATCTCTGTGGGCGCGCACAAAGGTCCACGGTTTCATGCAAACAAATTCAAGCAGGCGGGACGGCCGCCGCCCTCGCGGCTCGCCCGCGCTCGCGGGCCGCCGCAGCGTCCGCGAAGCCGTGGGCTCGGAGGACTCCCTCGAGCCCTGGGCGGATCCGCCGCGGCTCGGCTGCCTCCGCCCGCGGGGCCGCCGCTGCCGGGCGCCGCGGCGCCGTGGCGCTCGGCGGCGCAGCCATCAGGCTACCAGCGCCAGCCGCAGGCGGCGTGGGCGGGGCTGCAGCAGGCTGCCGCAGCGCTGGCTCGGGCGCCGCCTCGGTCGCCAGCACCTCCGAGCCGTGGCCCTGCCTGGCCTGGAGTGCCGCCGCCCAGCGCAGGCGCGTGCTTGCCGTTGGCGAGGCCAGCGGCGCGATCGGCTCCTTCGACGCTGGCAGGATCCCACGTGCGAAGTCCGACCGCGCCTGGGCTCTGGATCCCTTCTTGCTTTTGGGCTGCCCCGCCGCCGCGCTGGCCCCGCACGGCTTGCCCAGGCCGCGGTGCGCGTACCTGGGGAGGCGGCAGTGCATCCAGCAGGCCGCGCAGACCAGGAAGGGCTCGGAAACGTCGCCCTCGACGCGCGACTCCATGAGGAGGTGGCCGTTGACCCTCCATCCCGCTGGGCGGGTCGCATCTGCCGCCTCCGCAGGGGCTGGGCCGCTGCTCGTCGCCTCCGCCGCCGCCAGGCGCGGGCTGGGCGCGGGCGCCGAGGCCTTGCGGCGCCTCGGTTGCTCCTGCGCCCTGCGCTGGGCTACACGGCGCAGCACCTCCGCGGGCGACTCGGCCGAGGCGGGGCGGCGCCTCGCGGGCGAAGGCCGCGAGCTGGAGGCGCCAGCTGCCGCCGCCGCTGCCAGGGCCGCCGCCGCGGCGAGGCGGGGGCCGCCGACAGCCGCCGAGGGCTGCGCTACGCCGACGTCATCGCCAGGCTCGGCGTCGGGCTCCTTCAAGAAGCCAGTCGCTGAAGCGGCAGCCCCGCGCACCTCCGCGTCGTGCATCACCTCGAGCACGCCGCGCCCCTGGGACTGCGACGACGATGGGCTGAATCCACCTGTCCCAGGGGCGGGCTCCGCCGCGGCGGCGTGCAGGAAGTCGGTCTCGCCGTCGAGCTCCGCCGCCATGTAGGGTGTGAGGTCGACGAGCTCCAGCGAGCTGATGGGCCAGGAGTCCCGCAAGCCCGACTCCGTAGCCTGGACCTCGAACTCGGCGGCGTACCGCGCCGCGTCACGGGCGCGGGCCAGGCAGCCCTGGAGCAGGAGGGCCTCCTCGTCGGCGATGGCGCGCAGCGCCGCGCCCGCCTTCGCGAGCTGGTCCGCGAGGCGGTTGCCGTAGAGCTCCACCTCCGAGAGTACGCCCTGCTCGACTGCCGCCCGAGAACGGTGGGCGGGGATGTGCTTCACGTGCACCCCCTCGGCGGCGTCGCCGACCCTCGCCCAGAGGTGGGCAAACTGGGCCGTCGGGGCCGCCGCCCTCTTCACGTCCTTGCAAGCCCCGACCGTGCCGAGGCAGTCGATCATGAGGTGGTAGTGGCCGACGATGTCCGTGAGGGCGACCACCGCCGCGTAGTCCTCGCCTGCCCTCGCCGTCTGGCTGGGCAAAAGGGCAGGCGGCACTGCCCCCCACGCCTGCGCCAACCACTCGCCGTCGGGCGTGAGAACCACCACTGCCCAGCCCGCGCTCCTGACCATCGGGAAGTCGTTGTTGACGCAGGAGCCGTCCGTGAAGACGAGGGAGCCCGCGGGCACCACGAGCGCGCCCTCGTCCCAGCCACGCGAGCGGCGCTCCCAGCGAGGGTCCCAGCGCGGCCTCTGCACCAGGTACTGGGCGTCAACGAAGAGGCCCTGGCAGAAGAGCTCCTCGTAGCGGTGGCCCATTGTGCTCACCAGCTCGGCAGCTCGCTTCAAGTCGGCGGGCCTGCGATCTCGCCGCCAGCCCTCCCAGGCAGGGCATCTGTGGTGGCGGTGGGCCAGAGTCCCGCTCTCCTCGCCGCAGAGCAGGCAGCGGTCGTCGATGTCGGTGCCACGCTTGGCCAGCCTGGCCTGCGGCCATAGTGACAGAGACGCCAGCCTGCGCAGGCAGCCGCAGTGGTGGCTGGACCACGTCTCCGTGGGCGCGGCGCCGAGGAGCTGGTTGATGGCCCGCCAGTTTGGCGGCAGCTGCCACGGCCACAGGGTATCAGGCCTGGCGTCGTACTCCTGGAAGGCTGCCGCCTTCCTGGCCGCCTCATTGGCCTTCTCCGCAAGGAAGGCGGGGGAGCACCGAAGGACGGAGTAGCAGCAGCCGGACTCGTCCTGCAGGGAGTCGCCGTCGTCGCTGAGGCCCCAGCCGATGACCTGCAGCGTGAGCACCAAGGCCGAGATCGGGTCCCTGACGGCAGCCCACGGGCGCTGGAGCCTCACGATCCTGGCGCTCTCCGCTATGCAGGCCTGGATCGCCGCCGCGGAGGCCTGGCCTGCCCAGCGGACATTGGTGTACGCTAGGACGGCCAAGCCCGTGGCCACCACTAGCGGGTCCTGGCGCCAGCCTCGCGGCGAGCACTGCAGCAGGAAGCCCAGCGCAGCCCCAGGGGCCAGTTTGCCCGTCGCCTTGGCCGCTGCCAGCCTCAGGGCTCTCATGCGGCCAGGCGGGATGCCGTTGCAGGCCGAGCCCCATAGGGCTTTGGCTGAGGGGCCCGCGCGCAAGACCCTTGCCTGCCGAAGGCCAGGCCCGAAGATCTTGTGGAGCCTGCTGGCCTGCCGCAGCGCCGCGAGCTCTCTACCGACCTGAGTCGCGACTCGCCTGTGGCTGCCAGCCGTGGCGTCGACGCCGAGGTCACGGTGGCCCGAGACAAAGGCCTCGGCCGCGAGCCGCCAGTCGGGTTCCCGCTGCAGGCGGCGCTGGAGGCCCGCCGTGGAGGCCAGGACCTTCGTCTTCTTCCAGTTGATGGGCAGCCGCCTGTCCGCCAGCATCTCGACCACGCCGCTGACGGAGCTCGCGATCGTTCGGCTGAGCGTCGCTGCCGACCCGATGCCGTGGCCTGCTATGTCGTCGATGACGTTGACGACCCTGCCGACTGGCAGCAGCGCCCTGGCCTGGAGCAGGAGGCCGTGCAGCATGAGCCTGGCCACCGTCGTCGCGCAGGAGCAGCCCGCGATGATGGTGCCGCTGACCTCAATGGGCTCGCTGATGGCGGCGTCCGCCGAGGCGCGGCGCGGCCCAGCGTAGAG